TTTCATTCAGCTACCCTTTTACTCCATTCCTCACTATTGTAAAAATGATCAGAAATAAGCAAGAGAATCCCCCCTTGCCTAGAACCCCCCTTACTAGGAAACTTCTTCCATTCAAGCAAAAGAAAAATATGGAATGCTATCACCTCTAAACATCATACAGACACAAAAAAATAAAAACAAATGAAATAACTGAAGGAAACCGTTGATTTAGATTTTAAGATCAATGTGGCCCTCTCTGGGCACATTAAAAGAACAATCTAGGCATCAACATAACTTCTTATCAGGAAAGCCCCTCCCGGGAGGTAAAAATAAAGATAGACTTGTGAAGAGATTTATTGAGCATGATGTGAGCTGGCAAGGGGCATTATGGGATGCATTATATTCGGTGCCTTTATCCTGGAATGTGAGCAACAATAACCATTTTAACACCACCGAGTCATTTTAGTGGCATGGCAATTTAATGTGCTATTGTGCCTTTTGTTTGTTCAGGTCTGTCACCAGAGAATAAACCTTTGGGAGGTTCAAATAGAGTTTTATTGATTTTTTTTGTTTCATATATGACTATCTAAAATAATTCTAGCACTTACATATATTTATTTATAAAATATTTTACCAGGAAAGATACATTGAGATTTCTCTCGTTTTCAAGTATGTCCTGGGTCCACAAATCATTGCATTGTTACATTAGGGTACAACAAAATACAAAAACAATATTAATACACAATATATACAAAATTTAACATAGAACAGGCAGGAAATATATAATCAACCATAACACGTGCATTCTGTTTTGAGGTATGTAGAGAGGGATCTCTTAAAGGACTTTAGGCTTAGGGAAGATTTTAAATTGTGCGGGAGGTCGTTCCACAATTGCGGCGCTCTGTAGGAGAAGGAGGATCGGGCCGCTTTCTTTTTGTATTGAGGTAGACTAAGTAAAGTGTTGGTACTGGATCGGAGCTTATAGGAAGTGGGAACAGCTGGGGAAAGCATTTTGTTCAGGTAGGGTGGGAGTTTCCCAGAAAAGCTCTTAAACACAAGGCTGGAAAGATGAAGGGTGCGTCTGGATTCCAACGACAGCCAGTTTAGTTCGTTTAGCATGTCACAATGGTGGGTCCCATAATTACATTGTAGCACAAATCGGCAGAACGATACAATGTGTTGAGTTTATTAATGTGGGATTGCGATGCAGATGCATATACTACATCCCCATAATCAATGATTGGCATCAGCATTTGCTGTACAATCTTTTCCTTTACTGTAGGGCTTATGCAGGATTTGTTTCTGTACAGGGCACCTAGTTTTGGATAAAGTTTAGATGCAAGCTTTTCTATGTGTAGGCCAAAAGATAGATTGGGGTCTAATATCATACCCAAGTATTTAAAAGAGTGGACTGCGGTCAGTGTGCCATTTGAATTTGTTTTGATGGATAGGTGGGAATTGTATAATTTGTGTAATTTAGGCACTGTTCCAAAGATCATTGTGACAGTTTTGTCAGTGTTCAGGAAGAGTTTGTTTTTTGCGATCCACCTTTCTACCTCTGTAAACTGGTCTTGGAGCACAGCCTCAAGTTGGGGTAGATTGGATTTGCTCGCATAAATTACTGTGTTATCTGCGTACATGTGTACATTTGAGGATTGGCAGACATTAGGCAGATCATTTATAAATAATGTAAATAGTAGGGGGCCGAGAATGGAACCCTGGGGAACACCACACGTGACTGGGAGAGGGAGGGAGTCGCTGTCAGAAATGGACACATATTGCGAGCGATCCGATACATACGATCGAAACCAGGTTAGCGAATGATCACCAATACCCGAGTTTTTGAGTTTGTGCAGTAGAATGTCGTGGTCTATTGTGTCAAAGGCCTTAGCAAAATCAAGGAAAATAGCTGCAGTTAGGGCTCCTTGTTCCATGCCAGTTTGGATGTCATTGCAAACTTTTAAGATGGCAGTTGTAGTGGAGTGATTCTGGCAAAAGCCCGATTGATCAAGGGTCAGATAGTTTAATTGTTGGTAGTACTCACAAAGTTGCATATGGACACATTTTTCTAAGATTTTTGACAATACCGGGAGCAATAATATTGGGCTATAGTTATAAACCAAAGTAGTGTCACCACTTTTATGGATAGGCACTACTCTCGCAGTCTTCCAAAGTTTGGGTATGTATCCAGACACCAAGGATTCGTTAATTAGAGTTGAGACGGGTTTAGCAATTGCCGGTGCACTGAGCTTCAACAGTATTGCTGGGATTTGATCAGGTCCGGACTGTTTTTTTATTTTTAGATTATTAAGATGTTTTTTAATGACACTAACAGTTACAGATCTAAAAATATTATTGGGCCTTTGCAAATTTAGTGTGACCTGATCCACATTTGTAGTTTCAGGATGCGTGTCATTTATTAGCTTGGCAATCAGGGCAGTAGAGCATCCGACAAAATAATTGTTAAAGGCATTTGCTACATCTAAGGGAAGTTGCAGGGTTTGGTTACCCACTTTGACAGTGGAGGGTTGGGAGTGGATTGGGGGAGTTTGTAGTTCATTTATGACTTTCCAAAAGTTTCTAGCGTTTGAGATGTTATTGTTCAGATTTTCATAGAAATATTGAGCCTTGTCCAATTTTGTCTGTTTTGTGCATATATTTCGCCATTATCTATATGCCCAGTGATCATTCATAGAGCCAGTACGCTTGAACTTTGACCACAAAGTATCCCAAAACTGGTACATTTGGATGAGGTCAGCTGAGATCCATTTCATATGTGCTCCTTTTACCCTCACCTTACGCAGCAGGGCATGCAAATTCCAAATTTGTAGGAGTTCAGGCTGAAAGAATTCAACAGCAAAGTCTAGATCTGGCATAATGTTTAATCTGTGCCATGGGAGGTTCTTGATGTCATTTAGAAAGGATTCAAGATTAAATCTTTTGAAGGACCTAGTTATTTTAACTTTGGGAGAGGATTTAATAGCCTTAATTTTGCGCAGGCAGTACACTAAACAGTGATCACTGAAAGTGTTTGGGAGAACACCGACCTCCTGGATTCTATCAGAAGAAGTGGAGAGAATCCAATCGAGCAGGGTATGGTTGTGGCTTTTAATGTTTATGCGAGTTGGAGGAGGAGATTAATTGTGTTAGCTGCAAAGACTTAAACAGCGTGCAAGAACTATTATTTTTAGGGTTCAGCCAATCAATATTAAAATCTCCAAAGACCAACAGTTCACTTTATAAATATACTAATAGGTTAGCAAGTCTGTCGGATAGGCCAACCCACCACCTATTAATTAGCACAAAATTGTACACTCCACATAAAAATAGACAAAATGTAACAGCATAAAAATAAATAAATAAAAACGGGGTACAACAATCTGATCTGTTCTTAACAAGGGGTTACGTACACCACTAACCTCATAACGTGTACACTAGGTATCCTTAAGATCTCCTGAACCAGCCAGACATAGAATATTTTATTTTTCAAGGTTCCCAACTCATAAATAATAATATAATAATAATTAGAAATATTATACATGGTGTTCTTGTATATACACCCTTAAGAACGCGAAACAAACTAAAGCAGACCAGGGCTAGACTTTACGACACATGCCATAGAGTGCTCCTCAATCTCAAAATTAGTTTGTGTTTTTTTGTAAATCCATTTTTTTGTTGTAACGTCAGGTATTGTCAATTACACTAAGATGATCCAGTGAATAGTTACTATAAGAAGTTAAGATCGATCGTAATGGGCAATGTGACACAGCAATTGACACTCCAAACATTTCTGATTTAAAAGTAAACCTTTAACCTCCCGAGCCAGTCAGACTCCTTCTCCCATCCCTCATATTCTCCCTCCGAGGAAGAGAAAGAATTTCCATTGTGGATACACAAGTTTGGAGTCATCACATCTCATGTAATAGGAGTTTCTCAATCTTGGGTTTGGTTTGGTCAATCAGGTCGAGTAGCATTATACCGTGAGCCAGAACCAGTCCAGTCATTTGACAAAGAAACAAACATAGTAAAACCTAAAATTAAAACTGAACTGAAGAAATCCTACAGGATTTCCCTCGCACACCCAATACCAAAACGCACTGTGTAGTGTGTATAGGTACGAGTAGTTGAGGTCTTAGGATGTATTTTATAAAGGGTCACGACTTACCAACTTTTGAATGTGTGCATTTAAAACAAGTCACTGTGTCCTTCCTAGCCATTAGATGGAGTTGTGGGGGAAATAAGCATGATGTGTGTTTTTTAGCAACAGATCTCGATAGGAGACCATAGGTAGTAGTTGGCTTTGAGTGTAGTGTACAATATCCTCTGGACTGATACATGGAAAACGTGTCCTCTACTTCCCCAAGCCTGTCTGGATTTTGGTCCAGTCAGATGTGTACTGCAAGGGCTTGAGGTGCATAATAGAGTGTCCAAGGGTTTATCCTAATCATCGGACGTTAAGTGTTGTGCTATACTTTAGGCATAAGTAATGCGAACCATGAAAGTGGAAGGCCAGGAAAATGCTCTTGAAGGTCTCAAGAGATACCTTTTTGTAAGTTAGAGTACACGAAAGAACTTTGTGTTCAAATACGGTGTGTTGACCATGTTGTAAAGGGATGAAGATTAGTTCCATCGTGAAAGTTGGGATTTCTAATAAGAGGCATATGGAGAGAGTATACAGGATTGTCTTCCAATTTGGAATGGGACAATTTCTAAGCCCTAATATGGATGGCTAGAGGATTTGATAAGAGGAAGGTTGATAAAAAGTCAGAAGGTACCAAGAAGAATTCCAAAGTCAGATCTGAAAAACTTTGTTGTGATTGGATTCGTATAGCGCATGTTGGAAGTGAGCCGTCAAGCTATATTCCCTAGCATTGGGAAGGTTAAGCCCCACATGTGCATAGTGTGTAGTTTGATTCATTTTAGTTGAACACAGACGAGCCCTTGGAACTTGCCAAAGGTTGCCATGATAAAGGGAGTCCATCAGGCAACGCAGAAGTAGACCCCCCTTTCCAGGTCTCACATTAATAGTTTTTTCCCTTAAAGTTCAAATAATAATTAATGGAATTCCCACATTTGTAATACACTTCTTATCTCACCTTGGTAAGTAAGTCTCCACGTGTAGATACCAGAACATCCCAAAGCAAAACGTCACAATGAGTAACAGGGCCCCCGCTTTCCATCCTGGAATTAACAGGAAGTAATGAACATGTATCATTTCTTTACACACCATAAAACAGACGTGATAGTTCTGGTGGTATAATTAAAGGGACATTTGATGTAAAAGTCAGTCTCACTTATTAAACTTTTTTTTTTTTTTTATGTTAAAATGCCCTATATAGGTCACATCTGTTAAAAAGCAGCAAAAAAATAAAGTTAAAACCAGTACTCTATTCCCAGGTGACAAAAAACTGTATTTGTGAGGTGTGAAAAATTGAATGTATAAAGACACACGTCTTTATCAAGCAACTGGGCAGCTCCATCTTAGCACTTCAATCAATCATTGTTATAAATGCTGTTCTTTGCACCGGGCAGTCAGCATAGAGCGAGCATAATGAGAGGAGGAGAATTAAACAATGTTTCTCTTCTCCTTACTTGCAATGTGTGCCCTGGCCGTGCCTGGACTAAACTGGATTATGAGGTCATTTGCTAAATATTTAGCAGAAATTTAAAAGAAAATAGAGCATTTCATGAAAAAAAGGTTAACTTAAGTTATAGGTGATTGTCAATGTTTAGCTGTGACAGTTTCCCTTTTAACGTTCCATTAACAGAGGAGGAGACATAAACTTCTAAATTAAACACACTGGTTTAAAAATGTGATTTAAAGTGCTGAAAGCTGGACCGTCCCCTGAAAACCAGCAGGTACCAGCCCCTTTCTTTGTTTGCACCAGTCCTCAGAGCATGACACGGTTATACATAACCCCCTGCGGTGTAAAACCTTTTTTATGGGGTCTGTGTGATTGGCAGCCAATGGAGGTGTGGCTAGGGCAGATTTTAAACTGATTTAATTCCCAAATGGCAGAGAATTGAGCAGTGAGACTGAAGGGGCATGATCACGGATTATTCTATTAGTATTTTACAGAAATACTTTCAGTAATTTCAAAGGAAGTTAAAACAACAATCACAATTAAAAAATACCTAGAAGTAGATATTTATAAACTAACGAAAGCAGATGCATTTTGTAATGATATGGCAAAGAAATGTCTTACACCACACTCTCTTAATGGGTCACATGATTACAGGCCAGAATTAATACGGCCTCCATGAATAAATAAGGATTTAATAGTTCAGAACAAAAAAATGTACATAACGTACAATGAGTATTACCATTGTGGAGCTCTATGATACCCTTATACATATTACTGAAATTTTTTTTGCCGTGGAGTTCTGTGATACACACAGATATAGAGATATATATATATATATATATATATATATATATTATATATAAAAAGTTAGCTAGGGCCTCATTCCAGGACCCTATTTAGCCTTGCCTTGCAGAGAGTCCCAGTAAGGAAGAATTTCCCAAGTAAGTGGATTAATCTCATAAGAGCAGGCATTAGGCTGCTAGAGTAGGACCTGCCAAAAATGGTGTACATTGACGTTGTGGCAGGCTTATGCAATGTATGATCATATAATGTAACTAAACCGCTATTATTTTTTGCCTGGGTGAGGTGTTTTTAAATAATAAAACTATTGCAATCTGTGAGATCACTGTTTAGTGAATAAGCGAGTGCGCTGGATTGTGCATTTTGTATGTGTGTGTGTGTGTGTGTGTGTGTGTGTGTATATATGTATATATATATATATATACACACACACACACACACACTTTTTTCTAATTATTTGCTTTCAAAACTTGAAAGGATTACGATAAAATAGGTTTTAACGGACACTTGTCCTTTAAGTGTTCCTGATTAAAACTAAACCAAGAGAGAAAGAATAATTTGTACCACAAACAGGACAAGATCTCCCTCCAGATCAGGGTTAGAAATATTATTAAACACTAATAATAATAATAATAATAATAATAAAAAAACTTCAATCAGAAAGTCCCAGTGTAGAATTTATAGGTGATGTAAAGTGTGATGATTACACGCATGGAACATCCAAAACGCACGAGATCAATTCCTTTTACTTTGAAGCAGAGCCTCCTAGTGGACACAATGTGATGTACGGATACTAGCTAGGAACAATATCAACATTGTATTCAGTGTGAGCTCCTTAGATAAAGAGGCTTAATGGTGTGATGTGCTGTACACCAGGACAAGCAGAATATTTATTTAGAATTTGATATATTTTTTTTAATTAAATGTGTTGGGCAATACCCAGGCAATTGGCTTTCTCTCTGCCTGTGCCCCGGGTGACCCTACAGAACAGAATGTAAAATGGATGTTTTAACTAGAATAATGACTCACCTTTCTTACTGATCATTTTATTCGTGGGAGAAACCCTTTCTTTGTGGCAGATTTCATTGTTAACGGACTGGCAAAACAAAAAATAAAACAGAATAAAACCACAAACAGCAAATAATAAAAGGACAAATAACAGAGCATTCTGAACTCCTATTGGACAGATTATACATATTATTTACAGAAACATAGGAAGTAATCGTCTTATCTCTATATTATCTTTGCATATCACTATTCCCCTCCCCAACACTCCCTTATTAGCTTACTCCACCACCACGTCCCTATCAAGCTCCACCCCCACGTCTCCATTAACCATCCCCCAATCACATCCGTATCAACCTCCACCCCCACCACGTCCCCATCAACCTCCACCCCACGTCTCCATTAACCATCCCCCAATCACGTCCGTATCAACCTCCACCCCACGTCTCCATTAACCATCCCCCAATCACATCCGTATCAACCTCCACCCCCACGTCTCCATTAACCATCCCCCAATCACATCCGTATCAACCTCCACCCTCACATTAGCCATCACCCCCAATCACGTCCCTATCAACCTTCACCCCCACATTCCCATTAACCTCCCCCCATCACGTCCCTATCAACCTTCACCCCCACGTCCCCATTAACCATCCCCATCCCCAGACAACCTCGACCCCATGTCCCCATTAACCATCCCCCCACCATGTCCCTATCAACCTCCACGCCCACATCCCCATTAACCATCCCTCCATCCAATCCGTATCAACCTCCACCCCCACATTAACCATCCCCCCACCAAGTCCCTATCAATCTCCACCCCCACATCCCCTTAACCATCCCTCTGTCAGATTACTACTCACACCGCCCCACAATCGCAAAGCTCCAACTCTACCACCCCCTTACCTCTCTACACTGGATTGCAGCTCCTTTACCCCAGATCCTAATTCTACTGTTTTTTATTCTAACTCTGACCTTGTCAATAACTTTTATTAAGACACTCACTTCACTACCGGATACCATCGCCATCCATCTAAACAAGTGCTTTTATACTTTGTACCATTATAGAGATTAGAAAATATACATTTTAAATGAAAACACATGGGGTTAAATAAGTTGTTTCCTAATATCTTTACTAGTATATACACTTCATATTCAAAGAATACTTGGGAGGGGGTCAAAGCAGAGTGGAATTCTTTATTCTAAAAAAACAGAATTAGCACAGTATTTATTCTTCGGATTAAGACAACTCTCCAATCAATGGAAAATATTTCAACTGAGTACATTAAAGCCTACTTGGCACACGTACAGACAATGTAAATACGCATTGAATCAAAATTCCCTCAAAAGGCACAGAAATCACATGATACAGGTTTAATCGACATTGCCTCTCGTCACGTAGGGGTCCGCGCTCTACTACGAACTCACATCTTCGAGGCTCCCCCAAAGCTTAATTTATATATCAGGGAGGGGTGACATACCATATCCACATCAGCTGAACAGATAAAAACCGACACCAGGCCACATATAATCGCTGATTCTAGACACCAATCAAACCAGAGCTTTCAAACTACCCAGCTATCACGCCCAGCGTCCAGTACACTTAGAGCATCTAGTTCCGCTAAAATAAAAACAGAAAGCCAGTCTGTTTTCCAGTGCCAAAATTCCCGCCCAGGTCTTCTTGCTTATTAAAGCTTGATGGGTCATACCAGACGCCATTGCTTAATAAAAAAAAAGCAAATAAATCAGCAGAGGATTAACACACTGAGAAATCTATAGTGTACTAAAGGTACGGTTTGGTCCACACCCCTACATTGCTTTGGTCTAGACACATGCAAAGGACCTCAAGTTTAGAAAATAATATACGAATAGTCGAAATATTAAATAAAAAAAAATTATTTTTTTTTAAAAGGTGAGTCGAACCTCTGATGAAATTAACTGCAGTGGTCGATAGAATATCAAAGATAATACCAAGAAGCCCTGTTTAAATCTATGCTTACACCGAGTATTGCCAGTTAAAACTGACATTGAAACAGCAACGCACTACCTGGACAATCTAAGTATCAACTGCAGCATGAAAAGTCTAATGGGTAAGTAGGTGGTCCATCAACATGTCTAACATTTCGAGCCTTAACAACAGGGTTAGTAAAGAGCTGTATCCCAGATATACAGGGTTAGTAAAGAGCTGTATTCCAGATATACAGGGTCAGTAAAGAGCTGTATCCCAGATATACAGGGTCAGTAAATAGCTGTATCCCAGATATACAGGGTCAGTAAAGAGCTGTATCCCAGATATACAGGGTTAGTAAATAGCTATATTCCAGATATACAGGGTTAATAAAGAGCTATATCTCAGATATACAGGGTTAGTAAAGAGCTGTAGTAAAGAGCTGTATCCCAGATATACAGGGTTAGTAAAGAGCTATATTCCAGATATACAGGGTTAGTAAAGAGCTGTATCCCAGATATACAGGGTTAGTAAAGAGCTATATCCCAGATATACAGGGTTAGTAAAGAGCTGTATCCCAGATATACAGGGTTAGTAAAGAGCTGTATCCCAGATATACAGGGTTAGTAAAGAGCTGTATCCCAGATATACAGAGTTAGTAAATAGCTGTATCCCAGATATACAGGGTTAGTAAATAGCTGTATCCCAGATATACAGGGTTAGTAAAGAGCTATATTCCAGATATACAGGGTTAGTAAAGAGCCAGATATACAGGGTCAGTAAAGAGCTGTATCCCAGATATACAGGGTTAGTAAAGAGCTATATCCCAGATATACAGGGTTAGTAAAGAGCTGTATCCCAGATATACAGGGTTAGTAAAGAGCTGTATCCCAGATATACAGGGTTAGTAAAGAGCTGTATCCCAGATATACAGGGTTAGTAAATAGCTATATTCCAGATATACAGGGTTAGTAAAGAGCTATATCCCAGATATACAGGGTTAGTAAAGAGCTATATCCCAGATATACAGGGTTAGTAAATAGCTATATTCCAGATATACAGGGTTAATAAAGAGCTATATCCCAGATATACAGGGTTAGTAAAGAGCTGTATCCCAGATATACAGGGTTAGTAAAGAGCTGTATCCCAGATATACAGGGTTAGTAAAGAGCTGTATCCCAGATATACAGGGTTAGTAAAGAGCTGTATCCCAGATATACAGGGTCAGTAAAGAGCTATATCCCAGATATACAGGGTTAGTAAAGAGCTGTATCCCAGATATACAGGGTTAGTAAAGAGCTATATCCCAGATATACAGGGTTAGTAAAGTAGCTGTATCCCAGATATACAGGGTATACAGTAGGAGCTGTATCCCAGATATACAGGGTTAGTAAAGAGCTATATCCCAGATATACAGGGTTAGTAAAGAGCTATATCCCAGATATACAGGGTTAGTAAAGAGCTGTATCCCAGATATACAGGGTCAGTAAAGAGCTATATCCCAGATATACAGGGTCAGTAAAGAGCTATATCCCAGATATACAGGGTTAGTGAGGAGCAGTATTCCAGATATATACAAGGTTAGTAAAGAGCTGTATCTGTCAGGATTACAGTATGATCCAGTATGTAGAATTGTGTAACACAGAGGACTCATAGGTAACGTATACCAGACCTTAGAATTGCCGGACTAACGTACCAAAGAATAGTCAGGAATAGCCGAGGTGAATGGATACAGAAAGTGACACAACGATAAAGAAAAGCCAGGGGTCAGGGAAGGTGAGACTGAAGTGGAGAATGTGCCCACTAGTTAAGTTCAGAGAGTAATGGCAGTTACCTTTGGTGCCCATAAGCTATTTTGAAAAGGTGGGTTTTCAGGAACTTATTAAAGGATTGGAATAGGTTACTGGCAGAGGGGAGAGACCTAGAAAGTTTGTACTTCCGAATAAATATAGGATGTAGCAGGTGGTAGAATGGTTTAGAGCTTTGTAAGTAACCATTAATATTTTAAATAGACATTAATAGGATACCGGAAGCCAACGTAAGGACTAACAGAGGGACGAGGGGAGTGGCGGGAGAGAAAGATCAGCCTGGCAGGAAGCATTCATTACAAATTGTATCGGGGAAATACGGTTTCTGGGGAGACCATATAGTAGAGAATTACAGTAATCAATGCGAGCGATTACTAGAGAATAAAGATGTTATCTAGATAACCCCAAGGCTGCGTGCTTGCAAGGAAGGGCTGATTCACATATCAGAGAGAGCGACAGAGGAGGGAAGAGAAGGAGCTCAGTTTTAGACACACTGAGTTTTAGAAAGGGTAGGAGGTCCAATCGGAGATGAAGGAAAGGCTACTGGAGACTGTTGTAGGACAGCGGAAAGAAAGCAGGAGAGTTAAATCTGGGAGTCATTGGCAGAAAGATGGTAGCGCAGCTAGCCATGAAAGGCGGTATAGAAAGAGAACCGAAGGGAACCAAGGACAGAGCCTCAGGGGA